TGCTCAGGTGTTGCGATCTATGCCTGAACTGAGAGCACCGATGCATACCGGCAATCTGCAAGCTGAAGAGCTTCCCAGGGAACATGTTGAATATGCTCCAGTACAACATCGCGAGCCTTCGATATCATCCGATGAAACCGATAGCATCTCCGATAATCAAGAGCTAGGCTCAACTGCTGAAGATGATGGAGGTTCAAATCGGGCTGGAGCTCTAGTAAGAGATTCTTATGGACATCTTCGGTATGAACCATGTGCTCAAGGTTATTGTCCTATCGATGCTCACAATGCTTAGTTTTGTCGGCGGTGCCACGAATCAAATGTTGATTGAAGCAGTCAAAAGTCTTTCACCTGCCATGGCTACAACTGCATCATCGGCACTGAATGAGACGGGCGGTTCCCGGCATAACCCAGCGCATGGCGATCTTGAAATCCCTCTATTCGTGCGAGGACGAGTTTGGCCTGAAATGCCCTTCTTACCCAAACCAGACCAGCTATCTCGCCCGCCACAGTACGTTGCCGACCTTCTCATCGGACTCTACTTCGACCATTTACATTACACATTCCCGGTTGTCTTCAAGCCTCATTTTATGCAGAGATACCGACTTTTGTACCGAGCCGGGTCCAAGTCCTCTGCCCCGACAGATCGCAGGTTCTTGCTGGTATTCTTTGCAGTGTGTGCATGCGCATCCAGCCTGCTCCCTTCACTCACATCGGAGCGTCGGTTTGCAGGCATTGAATACTACGAGAAGGCTCTATTACTTTATTACTCATCAACTGGTGAGGCATCACTCGAGAAGGCTCAATGTTTGGCACTGCTTGCCATGTGCTCTGCAGGCTGGAATACCTTGACACAGAGTTGGCTGCTAGCAGGACAAGCAGTCAGAGCAGCGCAGGACATAGGATTGCATTTGAGTAGCCGTCTCGTGAGTACTCATCCGATACATTCTCGGAAACCTTTCTTCTAAAAGCGTGATTCGAGCTAACTTTGCCTCGAGATGCTACCGCTATCCTCGAACTCGAGCTCTGTAGATCCCTCGGATTTCTTGAGGCAGCAGATATCTCGTCGTATCTGGTGGAGTATTTATAGTCTAGATTGGTATGCACACACTATATTGTGAATGGTTGTTCAAGTCTAACTTTCGGGACTTAGTGTCACTTCTATCTGTCTCGGTCGACCTATGGCTGCTCACGACGAGGACTGTTATTGCGAGATACCCTACAACTTGAGTGACGAGGAATTAGACGCATGCAGCCGTCAACAAAGACCATCCGACGCGGCAACACAGTTACACTCGGTTCATTCGTCGCCTCCCACAACCGGCTTTCTTGCTTTTGCTCGCCTGTGTCGTATAGCGAGCAAAATCCAGCAACTTAGCTCACCTCGAAGAATTCGAGAACTTGCGTCAAGCAATCCTAAAAAAGCCAGAAAGTTTGTTACACGTGTTTCAGCTCTTGATACGGCACTGCGAACTTGGTTGGAGAGCTTGCCAGACGATATCCGATTTTCTGCCAATATGTCCGAGCAAAACATTGAACGAAATCCTCATCTGACCATGTGTGCGATTATTTTCATTGTGCATGCTGGGTCTCTGCTCAATCTTTATCGGTAAGTCTACTCGCAATGCCACATTGTCAGTCTATCACGATAGTACTAGGTGATGATAACAATTATCCAGATGCTTCGTAGGCAACCCCAAGTACAATGCTCTTTTAGCCGACGAGCCAAATACCGTGGATGCTATTTCACAGTGCATGAGTGCTGCAAGGAGCTGTATAAATGCAGCGGAACTGGTTCGAGACTTGGTGCCACCCTCACATTACCTCGCGTTCTGTGTGCATTATTTGACACTATCGGGTGTCATGCTGTAAGTTTAGACAAGTCCCAACCTTTGCTGATAGACATGGCTAATACCGATTTCCTGAATTTAGCGTCAGGATGCCAGCGGCTCAGCCCAACTCTCAGACGATAGAAGATGTTGAGAAATGCGTCAGCTTTCTGAAGGATTTAGAACTCCTTTGGTCGGGAGCTAGTCGGAGCAGAGCGATAATCGAGCAATTGCTTGTAGAGTATCGCAATCGGACAAGCACCAATCCGCAAGGACGTCATCACACACAGGATCAGCTGGTTGGAAGTAATAAAAGATCCTTCGCGGAATTCGAAACAAGCAATACTGCGGATACCGGAGAAGAGTTCTTCTTTTGGCAGCAGATTGCAGGGCCGGAGTTCTTTGCTTTTGAGGCCACAGATCCTGATTTGTTCAGTTCATGGGATGGTACATAGGTCGCAATGACTTAGATTATGGCTATGGAAAGAAGGTCTGGAGGTCGGCCTCTTCCCGCTGAATGATTGATATTCGGCACTGTCCCGATGCATCCCCTTGACAATAAGTCTTTAACAATCAAATATTCAACCTGCACTATATGGCACCTTGTAGCTCCACAGCTTAGTGGGTTTGTGTTGGCGAACGCCGTCGGCCGGAGCTGATCCGATTTCCTATCATTACGTCGAGTCATGACTGTATGTCACGCCACGCCGGTTAAGCAGTGCCTATAACGTGTCTCGAGCAGAACGCCGAAAGGGTATGCTCTGTGCTTAGACAAAAGATATTCTGGGCACCCTATTCCAGAACAGTATGGCAGACACTATTCCCGTTTATCCGCCGGTTCCCTTGCCTTCTGCGCCTGTGGTCCTGCTAGCGCCCAATTTATCGTTGCAGCCACCGCTGTCACGCCGTGGCCATGGCCCTGGGCTCATAGTCGTCGATCCTGGTTATGATCTACAAGCGTTGCCTTCTGCCGAACCGCCGTCACAAACTCTAGATCCAGCCCCACAGTACAAGTGGGCTGAAGAGGGATATGCCGTTGTTCGATTGACTTTCAGCAACAACGGCGAGCGGACTGATTTGGTCACTGATATTACGAAAGCAATTGACAGTCTTAACGACTTGGAAGAGTGTGATGTCAAAAACAAATATGCTCTCCTTAGTAGGGTGCCCAAAGCTCCATTACCGGGCCTTGCTCACAGAGACTCTCAGTTTATGGGACTCCCGAGGAGTACCCAACGTTTTTCCCAGACCAAATCGAAGCCGCTCTTGCTGCAGCGGCCAGTATCGTGGCAACCGTCACCTTCTCATCGTCCTGGACACTTTCTTCAGATTCAAGACCGCAGCTGATCCACGAGCCTGGCTCTAATCCTCCTAGCGAGAAGAAGCCAAACATAAAAGTGTACACCTATCCTACCGTCTCATCAACAAACTTCATCATTCCTGGAAGTGAAGGGTTCTCTTACAGCGCTGCCTCCGTATCACACACTCGAAGTGTAACGTTCATCAAAGAGTTGTTAGGCGGGCCAATATTCGACTTGGAGACGATATGGGAAGAACACACCTACTATGAGTTCGAAGATCGATCAGTTGAGAAGACAATGGGCACTATGGTACTAGAGCCATACGTAAACCATGTCCCCACGGTATGATTAGCCATCTTCTCTGAACGTGTCTAGTTCAAGCAATGCTTCATCTACATGCATAAGACTAGCATGATGCATTGATGGTTCTCATTTATCTCTAGATACAACAGATATTGACGCAGAGAAACAGATGACCGGTGGTATCGGGCGGGAGCGGCTCACGAACTTCTATCGACATCATTTTATCTGGAACAACCCCGACGACACAGTGCTTGAGCTGGTGAGCCGCACCATTGGCATCGATCGCGTTGTAGACGAGTTTGTCTTTACATTCACTCACACCAAAGAGATTGACTGGCTGTAAGTCTCGAAACAGACATAAACCAGGCCTATTGAATCTCAATCACTGATAACGTGCAGAATTCCCGGAATACCTCCAACAAATGTTGTGTTGCGCATCCCTTTTGTGTCAGTGGTCAATATTCGCGGGGACAGGTTATATCATGAACACATCAGCTGGGATCAAGCGAGTGTTCTGAAGCAGCTGGGAATGCTACCGGACTACCTTCCGTTCCCACATGCAGTACCTGGACACGAAGGGATGAAGTTCGAGTGCAAGGTTCCAGCTGCAGGTGTTGAAACGGCGATGAAGTTGCAAAACCAACGTAGTGTTGAGAGCAATGGGCTGTTTGTGGCTCCTGGGGCTGGCATTAGGGTGGTAGGATCTACGCCTTGAATCTGAAACTCGATGTCGACTGTGTCTCAAACTGTTTGGTCATGATCAAGAGGTTTCAAGGTTCCTCTAATATGACTCTGAGGCCCGCCACGTACCAAAATGGAAGTACTGTAATAAACATCAAGGCAGACAACAAAGGGTCGTAGGTGTAGCCTTATCTTAATCGATATCTACAATCACCAACATGCTTCAGTGATTGCTTTATCTCATTATCATTTAAACTAAGGAATGGCCCACTTCAACGAACAGCTGCGATTAACCTCCGAAGCCCACAGCCCTTGGCGCACGCAATTTTGCCGAGGCCTTTGAGGAAGCCAGCTTTCAAACAGAATGACAAGGTCAGCAACAGGTAAAGTTTCAGTCGTATGAACGGGCGGTGTAACCTTTTAGTAATTACTCAGTCACCTTAGCAATATTAAGTAGTAAATGGTCTGATTTTTCATTTCGCTTCTTCAATATTTATAGGGAGGTAGACGCCATGCGGCCCACTGGCCTTATCTACCCATAGCACTAAAGTGGCGCCTTGTTAGTAGCATGGCGCTACCTTTCGAGCTAATGACACCATCCGGCTGTTTCCTATCATGAATTTGATATGACCTTTAAAATTCCCTCTTTGGTTCAATAATAGCTCAAGGCTGTGACTTCATCAGGATAATGGCCGCGGAGGGATTCAAGGCAATCGTGATTGGGGGCGGGCCAGCAGGCCTCACGACTGCCCATGTACTCTCCAAGGCTGGAATAGACTTCCTAGTCCTTGAGGGGAGAAGAGATGTAGTCATCGACAGCGGTGCAGCCATGGTCCTTGGTCCACACAACCTGAGGGTGATGCGTCAGCTTGGTCTCTACGATAAGTTAATGCCTCTTGGGACCGAGGGCCTATACACCAAAGGCTTCCTCCAAAATGGACGCGCATTCAAAGATGTTTCAGACTTGAGAACATTCAAACAAAAGTAAGCCCTGTCAACTGCGATAAACCATGCATGTCTCGTTGGGTCACTAAGGGCGTTTTGAAGTCACGGCGTGGGACTGGTTACATTTCACCGGGCCGAACTCATTCAGTCACTCTATGACAACCTGCCTGATGGGGCCAAGGCACGCTACCTCCTAAATAAAAAAGTTGCCAGTATTGAGTCTGGGGAGCAGGGGGTGAAGGTTATCACCACTGACGGAAGCGTCTATACCGGCTCTATCGTGATTGGTGCAGACGGCGTGCACAGTACAACTCGCAAGATCATCCGTGGCCTTGCTTTAGCAGAGGACCCCGAGAGGGAGTGGGATGCAGAGAACCCGTTCCCAGCCGAGTATAGGTGTTTATGGTGCACATTTCCTCGCCCTTCCGAGCCGGGCGAATGCTTTGAGACACCTGGCAAGGACTTGTCTGCTATGTACCTGACAGGTAGAGACCGTGGCTGGGTTTTGCTTTACGACAGGCTACCAGAGGCGACAATTGAGCGACACGACTACACCGAGAAGGATATAGAAAAGTTTGCAGCTAAGATTGCCGAGTATCCTCTCAGAGAAAACCTCAAAGCCAAGGATATATTCGAGAAGCGGTTTACCTGGGGCTTGTCCGATCTCGGGGAGGGTGTTGCAAAGCATTGGAGCTGGGGTCGGATCGTTCTTGTAGGAGATGCGATCCACAAATTTACGCCGAATACTGGCTCAGGCTTGAACAACGCAATTCAAGACATCGTTGCACTCACCAACGGGCTACATTCTGCTATTCAAAGGGTTCCCGGACAGCCTGACAGCAACACGCTTACGGAGGTCTTTAAGAAATATCAGGAGCAACGCATGAACCCCTTACAAGAAGATTACAAGCGATCGGCCCTCGTTACTCGACTGCAAGCTTGGGCAAGCCGTCTACATTTCTTCTTGTCCAGATTTGTCTTTTCTTGGTCTTTCGCAGCTAATTTCCTGGTCAATCATGTCATATCACCTGCTGTGAGGCAGGGCCTAGTGCTCAACTATGTGGCCTGTACGGACTTACCTAAGGGTAAAGTTAGTTGGGAACACCAAATACCCAATTCTGAAGCAGCCGAATAACTTCCGAGTTGGTAATTTCATACTTTACTATAATGATCTTTAAAATATGATCCAAAGTTCATCAGGGGCATCAATATTTTTCCTCTGGTTTGAATCAGCCTCCAACGTCTTTTGAATATGTAACAGTTCAATTGGGGAACTAGAATTGCTTGCCAATAAACTATCATAATGAACAGCTACTTTTAATGTCAGCACAGGGCCTTAGCAGTTTGACTAAGTCTTAGCTACTACAGAACAAAGTGCTCCCCGAATCTTTCCCTCCACAGCTTCCTTCATCGTGAATGAGCCGATGCTGCTGCTTTTTTAACCTATGCAGTGGGTGCGCCTAGTGCTGACTATAGTGCTGTTTGGAGCCTCAATATGCCACCCCAGTTAAAGTTGTCCTCAAGCTGAAAATGGAACTAAGCCTTGCAAGTTTATGGGAGTGCCTGTTTCGACACTCTACTACCGTAATTGCCTGCCCTATTGTCTCTTGCTTGAACATTATGTACTCTTATCTTTAGCAACAGCTATCTTGAGAATTGTTCTCCTAGCTCATCTAGTGAGTTTAATTGTCTATAATAAGAGAAGAATTACAGCAGCATACCCTTGGTGGTATGCCTAAGTCTTACGAGTATCACTGAACAAGTCTTATAACATCTTATGAACCCACTGCTTGATCGCTGGGACGAAGAACAATCTCCCAGACCTTTCCGCATCAATCGTCCGGATATCCTCAACTGAATTTTCCAAAGAATTTACTCTTGAAGCTTCCATACTCGACGCCGCTGTAAAGAACTGTTCTAAGTCGCTATTTTCCCCATCCTCGGTTGAAAGCAAAACTGGCACTATAACCGGCTGTGTCAGTTTGGGTAGGACGGATTTCTCCAGCAGCTGCTTGAAAGTAAAGGATTCCTCGGGGCTCGGTGCTTTGGGCCGGTGATTTGTGAAGATATCCAGCGCCGTATTACCATCCTTGTCGCGGGCACATACATCGACACCATGAACGCCATCGCGCAGGAGTTGCAGAATCTCGAGTGTGCCGAACCGCGCCGCGTAGTGGAGGATCGTGGAATTGTGCTTGTCGACCGCGTCGGTACGGGCGTCGTGAGCGAGAAGTAGACCCACGCACTTGACGGATTCGCGGAAGATGGCAAAGAGAAGCGGCGTGCGGCCCTGGAAGTCCGTGATCTCGATGTCGGCGTGGTGCCGTAGGAGGAGATCCAGCTTGTCATCGCCGTCATTGTACGCCGCGAGCAGTGCGGGCGTGCGGCCCTGGTAGTCATTGTTGTCATCAAGGAGTTTGCTCTTCCATATTACAGAGTTGAACTGCGATTGTACGAGTAATGCGCCATCTCGCTGTCTGGGCCTGACTCTTATCCGTTCCTCCCACTCTCTCTGGGCAGCGACAAAGAGCAACGGCGCCAGACAATCGACCCTAGCCCATTCGACAGTTGCGCAAAGGTGGATAGGCGTTTGCTTCTTGTAGTCTCGGAGCTTGATCGAGGCGCCAGCTGCTAGAAGTAGCCTAACGGCGCCAGCATTAGCCCTGGTCACAGCCCAGTGCAGCGGAGTTCGCCCTTGTGTGTCTTGTGCATCAATCTCGTCCCTAGAAAAATCAAGCTGCAGCGCGAGAAGTGAGTTGGTATCATGACTGGGGTGTGTTTTCAATCCCATAATGATTTGGTGCAGAGGCGTGTACTTCCTCGTCATGAGATAATCAAATCCATCTTCAATGTCCAGCTTGAATATCTCAATCAACGCTCTGAACCGCTCGGTTCTGCCCTCACGTACCATCATATTCCAGACAATGTCAATCGGTGATCGGTCGATCTGGTCGGTCTCTTGTGGATTTGCTCCAGCTTGGAGGAGGAACTTACAAGTGCTCGTCTGCTCCTCCATCGTCGCTAGGTTCAGTGCTGATCGACCATTCAGCGCATTGACGTCGAAGGGTGATGCTTCTCCCGACTTAAAAAGCATATGTAGGCCTTCCACATTGCCCTTCGAGGCGAAAACAAACACATCGGCATCTGGCGCGACAAGTCGCGGAGTTCGCACGCTGATACGGTGTGCATCGAGGGGTCCCCATGTACAGGTGAGCTCCACCATTCGATCCAAAAACCAGCGTGGAAAGTAGTATGAAATCCTCAGAGACTTTTGGCTATTCTGCTGGCATGTTGCATCATTGCATGTCCGGTATCTGAGGATGGGGGAACCGGTGTAGCCGAAGAACATGTTGCCGACAGCGGCTACCGCCCAGTGTGGTGTCTTCGCACGGCGCGTTCTATGACACCGACATGCACAATGTTTGCGACATGCGCCAGGTCGGTAGACACTTGCCTTAACCAGGTAATTGAAAGCAGATTCGTCTTGATCAGCCTGCTTCGGGGTCGTCGACCCCTTCTCCCATCCACCTTCGGACGCAACAAGCGTGTCCGACGAAGCACGTCTTGAGGGACTGTCGATAGACTCACCGTGCTCTGCAGCGTCGACTGCCCCTCGGGGCAAATGCATGCCGAGTCCTGAGAGCTTCTGATCAAGTGGAACATCCGCGGCAGCGTTCACAGAGTGTGTACTACTTGTTTTGGTCACGAGAGGCGTGTCTTGCTCATCCACCGTCGTGCTTTCAGTCTCAAGGATCAGATTGTTCGACTCGGTCGCGGCTTGCTTCAGGGTCGAATGTAGTGATTGTAGGGAATAAAAACTCGTGTTCATGGTGTCTAGGCGCTGTAGCGTTGTTGTCTCGAAGTCTCGAATATTAGTACTGATTTCTCGAGAGAGGACGGCAATATCTTGCAGATCAAGCTGAAATCTCGGTAACGTCTTTCTATCAAAGAAAATATCGAATCAGCTACTTCCTAATTTTTCAGTCATCTCAATGGCTCAAATCGACTTACGCGGTATGAGTAGAGATGAGCGAGTCGATATTGTGCCGAATATCTCGCAGTCTGTTGACCAACTCTCGCAGCTTTCTCTGGTATCTGAACCATCCAGTTTTGGATATCTCGACGGGCCCGTCAGATCCCTTAGAAGACTGGACCAGAATCTTCTTGGTCATGATGACCGCGATCTCGTCCAGTGTGATCTTCGCTTGATCGAGTAGCTGGATGGCTTGGCGGGCTGGTAAGCCTCCTTGCGCCTCGAAGTCAGCCGCTACATCGGACATGTAGCATAGAACAGCTTCAATATCCGAGATCTAGGGATTGTGTATTAGATACAGCGCCGCGAGAGCCTAGGGCTGGCCAGGATAAGATGAACAATCTAAAAGAGCGAACCTCGTCATACAGTTGCACGAACTGGCTCGGCACATGTCGCAGCCTTATCACTGTAGCCAAAAGTTTCGATGTCGCCGTTACGGCCCCGGCAACAGCGATGACGCTTGCTATTATTGATAGAGGGTCCATTACGGGTCTCAGGTGGAATGGACAGGTGTTCGGCTTTGAAGCAGGTCGTCGACAACAATTGCATGAGGGTGTAGATATTTGGCACAACCACCAGATAGATTAAGTGGTCACGGAGGTCCACGGTGAGGGGCCGACCTTCACACTGACAGCCTGCTTCGTCACACAGGACGGGACAGTGGTAAGGTGGAACGATATGTGTGCGTGATGAGCTGGCAGGCGATTGTCAATTGGGCAAGAAAGACGCTGCAGAGCTCGCCCATGTTCTGTGGCTGGTTCCTCGTCCTGCGACACGGATGCCGACAGCAGCCGCGCACACCTACTGGTGCAGCACCACCTACCTATCTTGGGTATGCTCGGCACATAACTGCCACTCCCGCTTCCATGTCGTGATAAGTCAGATGTTGAGAATACTCAGCCTCACATAAATCCCACACATATTCGACTGGCTTTCGGCCAGAGCAAGGCGTATTTTCTCTGAGCATTGTTGACTATGGCAGAATCGCGCCTCATCCCTGCCGCGAATGATCTTCCTCCTGTGGCATACGGGCTTGGATATCGCCATGGTCTTGGAGCGGGGGCTTATATCTTTCAGTCAAACTACGCTGAGTATCTCAAGAGCCTCCTCCCTTATTCAGATCCTCGAATCCAGATCAATATAATGATCCAACCAAACTCTTCCCCACATATTGGAACTCTTTGTAACTTGGGCCTGGCATTTGTGGTTGCTCAGCGGATGGCTAAGTTGGGAATGGACGCAATGGTCACCTGCGACTTGTGCGATCGAGCCAAAGGCGAGCAGTTTACAATCAACGGCATCGTCTACCAGAAAAGCCTCAAGCACAAGGGGGTGTTCCAGAAGCATCTGCCAGATTATGAGGAACTTCTCAGCACTTGTCCCAGAGGTATAGCGTACCATACAAACTCAGAGTTGAGGAAGAGTTCCTTAAGAGCGACAACATGAAGGGGGTGCTGGAGGATATCATTACCAACCGCGACACGTTAGGACGGTACCTTGCACCCACAAAAGCATCGCTACCTATTCGCTCTGCTTGTCCGAAATGCGGACTTATGGATAAATATGGCATAAATAACAGCTACGCTCCAGATGCCAGCTCCGTATCATTCGTGTGTCCCCATCATGGAGAGTTTACCATCAGCACAGACGACACGCATCAGTTTAGTTTCAATTGCCAGCTGTTGAATTTAGTTATTGGCTATCTTTACCAGCGTGCTACCTTCAATTATGTTGAAGTTATGGGCAGCGACTATTCTGGATTTTGGCAGGAACAGTTGCTCTACCGTTTTCTCCCCAAACCTATGCTTATTGTCTATACTCCTCTGATTTCGGACTGGTCGGGAGCCAAGGTATCTAAGTCGCTATACTTGCAAGGAACTGCCTATGACTATCTGAAAAGAGCCAATCTTGAGTACCTCCTCAGCTACAGAATCCTCCGACAAGAAGGGAGACACTTAAAAATTCTCTGGCAGGAGATTGAGAGGTGGGTCGACGAACCGTACAGACTCTTTCGAGGATATAGTCTTCATTATATTCATCTACTCTTCGAAGAAACTGTTGGAGACCTTCTTTGTCAGGGTACACACAAACCTGAGCCAGAATAGGGTGAAATCTCGTCAAGGAATAGACTAAATCTTTATAAATAGAGAAAGTTTTGTTAATTTAGGTTTTCTTATTTTAAGACTATATATTTAAAATCGAGGCTCAACTACGAGAACGTCTGCCCAACTCACCAGGTGCTTACGCCGCGATGTACAGACTTTGTTTCTTAGTAGAGTAGAAGAAATAACGAAGATAGGGAAAGAGCTGTAAATGTTAGGTGATTATTATAAGCAAAAGTTGAAATATAATATTAGAGGCTAAGTGTAAACAATATAGATAATACTATAGGATTCCCATAGTATCAACATGTAGGAGCAGAAAGAAAACCCCTTCTTTAATTGTCAGCTAGAGGAGTCCGAAACGACTCTATATCAAAGCCCCTCGCAAAGAGTTGACAATTCTTTTTGTTAGCCTCTCGTAGGAGGAAAACACTACTAAATGGACTAAAACTGTGTTCGTTGGGCGGTCTCGCTTAAGGTAAAAGAAGCGCACTGCAAAACAGACCTACAACCCACATCTTCCACACCTCTTCATCCACAGCTTCATCAGAAGAACCTCAATTACACTTCAGATGGCTTCTCAAGCATCAAATGACGCCTAAAGAATCTATAATCCAAGGCAAGTGCAATTTCCTCGATGTCAAGGGTGTCAAATACAGCGATAACAATACCTTTCCGCTTCCACGGCGTCTGCAAGACTAATGGCTGGAGAACGCTTCAAGAACCGCGCGATCTCCGTGCCAGGACAAGATGCGGAACGTACAACAGTAGTTGCAGGGGACAACACAATACTCAGGCAAATGTTCAACCGACAGTGCTACAATTTCCTTCAAGTAGTCTATAAAGATTGATATAGATTCTTCTCATTGGTGACTGATACTCTTTAATGAAGGCCCTGAACATCGAGAAAGCTGGCCGTCAACTACCATTCGAGTTGGCAAGCCATCCCCAGCCATAAGCATCCCAACAATATTGCTTGAGGAACTCGTAACTAGACGCCAAAATCAGCACCATGTGTATCAATCAGATAAAGGTCGATTCATTGAACCGACATACCTATTCGGTCGGCTCACCACAGCAGCATCGCTTGCGGCCCCAACCACAGCCCTGCATGTACATAAATCCTCCATAGCCATCACAATGATACTCGCACTGGCCAGAATTGGTCCATTTGCATTCACTAGGGTGATAGCATTGCCCGCGTGATTCAAGATCAGTAGTCAGGCCTGGCACTGGATATGGGCTTCCGAGAACGCTAGTGGTGAAGGCAGCAGCAAGAATCAAAATGTAGGACTTCATGGCTACTATACTTTGAAGAGTGAATTGTAGAGAACAAAGTTGGTATCTTGAAAAGACTTGACTAGATGAACCTGAGAGTGTGTTGCTAAAGTATTTCCACAGAGATGGCAAGATGCCGTTATTTATATTTGCCGAGGGATGTCGAGGCAAGTACGTCGAACTTCCATCATAGGCGCCCTATCTTTGACGATTCATAGAATTGTCGAACTCGTATCGATCACTTACACCGAACTTCATTTCTCCTTCTTTCTGCCTTGCACTGCCGACTGATTCGATGAAGCATTAAAGTTGTCAGAACAGAATTCAAGACCAAATACAATATATGACGCCGAGAAGATCTAAATTTGGGTTGCCGGACGAATTCTTGACACCGGGCGTAGGATCAAATCAAAGTCTTCAGGGAAAATATAACGCTGGTTTATTCATCATGATAAAGTCTTACATTAAGACGACCTTCATCTTACTGACCGATGTCATAGATCAACGTCCCGGTGCTCGCTTTCATGTTAGCTAGTCGATCTCCGTACTTGAAGTTGAAACAAATTTCTCATCGATAAGTGGTCAATCGATTTAAAAGCAATT